TGATAATATGCTCTGATAATGTTTTAGCAAAAAATATCTAAAGGGGGGAGTTTGTAAGTGTTTGTTGGCAACAATTTTGTTTAATCAGTGACTTGATAATGTTTTGCTAAATGCCCTAACATTTGAAGCAAAACTGTTTTGAATGATGTCAAAGTAGATGTCTTGACATCTGCCTCCTGAACTGAACTCAACCCAATATTAGTTCATGTTTTTTGTTTCCTGATTTCCTGCGCACCATAATTAAGGATTTGTGACTCATATGCTGCGAAAAATATGGAGGAATATTTTCTATTTGAATTATCTTTATGGATTATATCTTGGCCTATTTTCATGGAAATATTCAAAAGATTTGAATATTTGTTTTTCAGCCCAAGCCCACCGTTGCGCATATATAAGGACATGCTTCCTTATTAAGAACTGCAACTTTAGAAGAAGAATACTTTCATTCTGTCTTAGAAGTCTAAGTCTTTTAATTGTCAAACACTCTAGTATTGATTTAATACTTGTGTTGTTATTTGGGTTGTTAATTGTGTATCATTCATAAGCTTTTAAGCATTGAATGATTGAAGTCTTTTAAACCTATTATTTCTGTTGTTTCTTCACTATAAGTGATTGAAGGGATTTGAGGAGGGCCTCATACCTAGGTGAGTCTTAGGTAGAAGTATAGCACGGGTAGTGATTAAGTGATTAGATCGTAAACTGGTTATTTACTAAGGGTCTATGAATTGATACTATTTAGTGGACTTGTCCATGGCTTGGTAGCACCCAAAGTAGGTGTTGTTGTACACTGAATTGGGTTAACAATCCCTTGTGTTTTTACTATTTTTATTATTGTTGCACTTTACTTTGTTCCTCAAATATTTGTGTTGTGACATCTCATCGACATCACATATCTGATACCAGAATTTCACATTACAGAAGTGAACCAAACAAATTCATCCTTTCTTTACAATTCTTGTCGGGCGACACATCCTGTCACTGGGAGATCCTTTTCAGAATCACAACACTTGTTCCCTTTCATAAAAAGAAGAAAATATACATTTGGCCACCTTATCTGCACAAAATTTGCTGAAACACTAATAAACAAATTAAAACATTCAAAATTATTTCTACTCATGCAAAATGACTTAAAATAACTGCTTATCCTAATTAAAAGTAAAATAAAGGGTTTGAAAGTGTCAATATATGATATGAAATTTATACAAAAGTTTACACTTAACACCTAGCGGGTCTCTTTTACGGGTAGTATTTTTTTTACAATGTCCGCATTTACAGGGTGCAGAGAATTTTCATTGTAAATGTTGTAGCATGCCAGAGAATGCTTTCTTGATCGTACGTGGCCCTTTACTGGAATTCATGTTCAATGCCCTGAGTGATTCAGATGGAGGTCTGCCCCTGGATATTTGACACTTTTGAAAGATTCCTTGAATCTTGACTTGACTGCCCCCAGATCAGTTAGACACCATGTCATGCCCCTTGATGATGAAAGGCCTGTTACTAGAAATGTCTTGAAATTTTGAAAATGCATTTTTAGTAAAAACAAAATTTTGTAAGAATATGAATTCAACTTAGGTTTTATAATAAGCCTTATAGGAGCCAGGATAACTTTTGTAACTGTAACACCCCAATTCTACCCGGTAATTATATAGATAAACCAGAGTTATAAAATCATTCACGCAAATGAATCGGGATGTCACAAATTCCATCAATAAAACTCATTGCATTCATCGTGGATATATAACACTTTAAAATTTCTGATGAACCATCAGCATGATACTTTAATTAAATAATTCAACAATTTGACATCTACACAGCAGAATTCTTAATAACATCTTTATCATCATTATAGCAACTCCAAAACAACACAATTTAATAATAATCAACTTAAAGTTCAATGATTGAATAATAAACAATAAAAAACAACAAGTGTTCTTCCCCCCGAGTGTTACATATTAGAGCAATGACACTGACTCGAACTATTGAAGGTATACAACCTTCACTCTCGATTACCTACACGTTACCAACATAAGGGCAACATTCAAACAGAAGGGGTGAGATATCTAACAATATAATAAAGCGTATGATAATTAATATATTAAATTAGATCACATAACATCACCACTTCTCATCTCATAATCAACAATAATCACAACAATAATACACATTCACAACATTACCACACACTTCTTTATGCAATCATATAAAGCGACTCAATACTATGCAAATGCATGTGGTACCATTGGAGAAGAACTCCCATCTCCAAAATTGCCAATTAATAGAGGCATTAACAAGGCATAAACCTTCACATCAATATTTGCCAATACAGGCCATCTCAATGAGCATAAGCTCCATTTCAAAATGCAATGTATGCGACACAATCATGAATGTAATAACAACACCATAATTGACAACATCTCAATACAACACCATCGATGGCCAAAGGCCTACATCTTAAAAGCATCTAAACATCTCTTCATAAACATCATTCATAGACATTATGTATCATCATAAATCATCAAACATCATTTATACATCATAATTCATCAAAACAAACTCTCATTAACATCATCTCATCAACAACTCAGCCGTTCAGTAATACGACAGTAACTCGTCAATTTCAAAGTGTTGGGCATAGACCTATACAAGATATTGCCTATAATTAGTTAATCATATAAGGCTTACTTCTAAATCACTCGACCTTTACATATTAATATTCTTTAATACTACATCATTAACATCATTCATCCTACTGTTACAATCAAACAACAATCTATATACATCTCATCCTCATCATTCTTCACAAAAATCAACATAACGATCAACATGGGAACTAATTAGATTCCTAACTTGGATACTAGTATTACCCTTCCTATTCTTCATTTTAATTCTTAAGAATGAAGTTCACCGCGTTAGCTATTCAACGCTTCGAACGATACCTCAAACGGAGCCCAAAAACTCAAGTTACTGCATCTTCAAATTGATTCTGCCAAAAACCAGACAACATGGATCGATGCATAACATCTTGGATCGACGCGTACTAAACTGAACTCGTAACATGAGTCGACACATCCTCTCTTGTATCAACTCATACTAATTCTGCCACACAGCATGTATCGACACATGCTCCTACGTATCGACTCATCCTGAGTCTAAAAGTCCTCATGCATCAACGCAAGACTCCTTCGTGTCGACTCATCTTGAGTCTAAAGACCTGCTTGTATCGATGCATGCCATTTGGGGTCGACGCATACTGCTCTGTCATGGGTAATTTCTGTGATTTTCTCTGTGTTTTCACTACGGGTTCCATACTTTAAGCCCTAAAAACCTAATCTAATCATAGATAATCATCACTTACAGTTATCGTATAATTCTACATCAAATAAACATCATAGGAACATCATCGTTCATCTTCTAGTCATAAATTCTCATCATACAACAACATATAATTCAATCATGAACAAAATAGCACTTTCACATCTAATCCCATAAACCAATTATCATGAACCCTATTATAGAGTCAGAACCCTACCCTTACCTTGGATTGAAGGTCGCTCTATAACTTCCGGTTGAATTCTCATTCTGCCGTTTTTCCTCCTTTCCAACAACTTCACGTTCTTCTTTCCAATCCTTATTCTTCTTACTGCTTCTTCTTTTCTATTCTTTCTAACAATAATAAAATAACCTATTATTCTCTTTATTCCTTAATGGGCTCAAAACTAATACACCCCCTCATTACTACTTCTATTCCTTAAAAAGAAGCCCACATCAAAATAATATCATTCTTCTAATATTATTTCACCATTTAATAAAATAATTTAAATCCAATTAATCACAACAAAAATTCACAAATATTCCAAAAATAATTTAATTAAATAATTAATTAAATTACGGGCGTTACAACTCTCCCCCACTTAGAATATTTTCGTCCTCGAAAAGTTACCTTAATCAAACAACTTAGGATAGGAGTCTCGCAGCGTGCTCTCCAACTCCTAAGTCATGCTTTCTCCGGCAGCTCCTAGCCAAACCACTTTAACCAAAGAAATCTCTTTGCCCCTCAGAGTCTTAGTTTCACGATCTGTGATCCGTACAGGCATCGTCTCCACTGTAAGATTATCCTGTACTTGCACATCATCCATATGAATCACATGAGATGGATCTGAAATATACTTCCGGAGTTGCGACACATGAAACACATCATGCAAATTCGAAAGATTAGGCGGTAAAGCCACTCTGTAAGTAACATTCCCCACTCTCTCTGAAATCTGATATGGTCCAATAAAACAAGAAGTGAGATTTTTAGACTTCAATGCTCGCCCAACACCAGTCACAAGTGTAACTCTCAAAAACACATGGTCACCCGCTTGAAATTCTAAATCTTTCCTTCGCTTGTCATGATAAATATTCTGTCTACTTTATGAAGCTTTAATCTTTTCTCGAATCAACTTCACCTTCTCAGTAGTCTCACGAACAAGTTCAGGTCCAAGTACTACACTTTCACCAGGTTCATGCCAACATAACGGAGTTCTACATCTTCGAACATACAACGCTTCAAAAGGTGTCATCCCAATACTAGAATGGTAACTGTTATTATAAGTGAACTATATCAACGGAAGATAAGTATCCCACGAACCTCCCTGCTCAAGAACACATGCCCTCAACAAGATTTCCAACGATTGAATAGTCCATTCAGTTTGACCATCTGTCTGAGGATGATACGCTGAACTCAACCTCAACTTAGAACCCAAAAATTCTTGCAAACTCTTCCAAAAATCAAAAGTAAATCTTGGATCTCTATCTGACACAATGCACAAAGGAACACCATGCAGCTTCACAATCACATTAGTGTAAATCTCAGCCAACTTCTACACTGGAAAAATGATGTTAATAGGAATAAAATGAGCCGACTTCGTAAGCCTATCAACAATCACCCAAATTGAATAATGTCCTATTAAGGTATTAGGCAACCCCGTCACAAATTCCATTGAAATGCTATCCCATTTCCATTCTGGAACTTCTAACAGTTGCATGAACCCTGCTGGCTTCTGATGCTCAACTTTCGACTTCTGACAAGTCAAACATGCATACACAAACAAAGCCACATCACTCTTCATTCCAGGCCACAAAAACAAACATTTCAAATCTTGATACATTTTTGTAGCTCCTGGATGAATACTCAACTTACTTCTATGACTCTCTTCAAGTATCACTTTCTTCATCTCAGCATCATCAGGAATAGAAATCTGGTTACAAAACCTCAACACACCTTGCGCATCTAGCTTAAAATCACGGTTCTCAGACTGGTCAATCCAAACCATCAAATCTACCAGTTTTACATCCAACTTCTGAGCTTCTCTGATACTGTCTAGAAATTCATTATTAATCTTCAACATACCCAACATAACACTTTGCAGTGTAACCTCGCAAACTAAGCTCATATCTCTGAACTGCTCAATCAATTCCAACTCTTTAACCATCATTGCTGACATATGTAAAGTCTTTCGACTCAACGCATCAGCTACCATGTTCGCTTTTCCTGGATGATAATTTAAACTGAAATCATAATCCTTTAAAAATTCCAACCATCTTCATTGCCTCATATTCAACTCCTTTTGATTAAATAAATACTTTAAGCTCTTATGGTCACTAAACACTTCAAATCTAGAACCATAAAGATAATGCCTCCAAATCTTCAACACAAAGACAACTGCAACAAGATCTAAATCATGCGTGGGATAGTTCTTCTCATGAGTCCTCAACTACCTTGACGCATAAGCAACTACCTTACCATTCTGCATAAGAACACCTCCTAAACCCATCTTAGAAGCATCACAATACACCACAAAAGGCTCTCCTGGATTAGGCAACGTCAAAATCGGAGCCGACGTCAATCTCTTCTTCAATTCCGTAAAACTTTCTTCGCACTGAACATCCCATACAAAAGCTCTACCTTTACAAGTCAACTTAGTCAACAGAAGTTCCAACTTAGAAAAACCTTCAATAAACCTTCTATAGTAACCAGCTAATCCCAAAAAGCTTCTAATCTCGGTAGCTGACCTTGGAGTTTCCCATTGCAACACAACATCAACCTTCCATGGATCTACAACAATTCCACTACCTAAAATCACATGACCAAGAAAACTAACCTCCTTTAACCAAAATTCACACATGGACAGCTTTGCGTACAACTTCTTCTCTTTCAAAACCTGCAATACTACTCTTACGTGTTCTACATGCTCTTCTTCTGACTTAGAGTAAATCAAAATATCATCAATGAACACCACTACAAACTGATCCAAATAAGTATGAAAGATACGATTCATATGTTCCATGAATACTCCCGGCGCATTAGTAACACCGAAAGGCATCACCGAATACTCATAATGTCCATAACGCGTTCTGAAAGCTGTCTTATGGATATCTTCATCCTTCACTTTAATCTGATGGTAACCCGACCTCAAGTCAATCTTACTAAACACATGAGCATCCACCAATTAGTCCATCAGGTCATCTATCCTTAGAAGCAGATACTTGTTCTTAATCATCACTTTATTCAACTATCTATAATCAATACAAAGCCTCATACTTCCATCTTTCTTCTTTAGTAACAGCACTGGAGCTCCCCACGACGATATACTTGGTCTTACAAACTTCTTCTCAAGTAACTCCTCCAATTGCTTCTTTAACTCTGACAATTCAGATGCAGACATCCTGTGTGGTTCCATAGACACAGGTCTGGTACCAGGTACAAGATCAATAACAAATTCAACTTCCCTCTCTAGCGGTACATCAGAAATATCATCAGTGAAAACTTCAGGAAATTCACACACCACATGCAATTCCTCAATTATAGCTTGAGTATCTAGAGATAGCGACGCCATCAACGAGAACATTTGTGCTTCTTCCTGCACCAACTTCCTCAACTGTCTAGCAGACAATAGACCATCTCCCTCTTCTTCAGGAGTAGAAAACCTCACAGACTTGTCATAACAGTTAATATGAACACAGTTATGCTCTAACCAGTTCATACCCAAAATTACATCCAAACCTCTTAACGGTAAACAAACCAAATCAACAGCAAAGTCTTTGTCGAAGATCGACCAGGGACACCTTAAACACACAAAATAAGTAGTCACCGACCCCTTGGCTAGAGTATCGACGACCATTTCTCCATTCAAAGAAGACAACATAAGACCCAATATTTCAACATAATCAGCAGCAATAAAACAATGCGTAGCACCGATATCAATAATAGTAATTAAAGGAGTACTATTAATCAAACATGTACCTCTGATAAGTCTGTCCTCAACAGCTGTCTGATCCTCAACCAAAGAGAACACTTTACAACTTGTCTGTGCCCTCTTTGGTTTCTGACACTGACTACCAATGTTCCCTTCTTCTCTACAATTGAAACAAATCACATCCTTATGTTCACACTCAAATACAACATGTCCGTTCTTACCACAACGAAAACACCTCTTCACTTCAGTAGTGCATACATTACTCTTATGCCCAGGTTTTCCACACTTAAAACAAACCACACCAGTAGGAGCATCTCCCCCACTAGTCCTCTGACCCTGAGCAACTTTCTGTTTACCTTTACCAGCTGGGGAACCATAAGGCTTACCACGACTCTATTGGTGCTTATCCCTCTTCTCACTGACAATATTGTAATGAGCATTATTATCCTCTTCATAAATCCCGCAGCTATCAATCAAATCAGAAAAGGCATGGATCTTCTGGTATCCAACTTCCTTCTTGATCTCCGGGTGTAACCCATTCTCAAACTTGATACACTTCGAAAACTCAGCATCTGCCTCAGTGTAGTGCGGATAAAACTTAGTCAACTCAGCAAACTTGGAAGCATACTCAACAACCAACATACTCCCTTGCTTCAGCTCAAGGAACTCAACCTCCTTCTTACCACGAACATCTTCAGAAAAGTACTTCCTCAGAAATTCCCTACGAAACACAGCCCAAGTGACATTCTCACCTGCAGCTTCCAATCTCTGACAAGTCTCTAACCACCAGTCATCAGCCTCGACTGCTAGCATATGAGTACCATAACGAACCTTCTGAGCTGGAGTGCAATCCATCACACGGAAGATTCTCTCAATCTCTTTTAACCAATCCAACGCTCCGTCAGGATCATACTTTCCCTTGAAGGTAGGCGGATTCTCTCTCTAGAAAGTCGCTAAACTATGAGATCCAGCATTCCCGTCAGCATTCGGCTGATTTTCCATTGCATGAGCCATTGCTTCTAAAGCAGCAACAAGTGCAACATCATTCCTTCGAGCCGTCTCAACTTCTTACTACAACACAAACAACGGTTAGAACTCAAATTAACAAAACTCAATTGTTAGACAACTACGACTCGACGACAAGGTCGGACCAACCTTTTGCCCTGATACCAACTTTGTAACACCCCAATTCTACCCAACAATTATATAGATAAAACAGAGTTATAAAATCATTCACGCAAGTGAGTCGGGATGTTACAAATTCCATCAATAAAACTCATTGCATTCATCATGGATATATAACACTTTAAAATTTCGGATGAACCATCAACATAATACTTTAATTAAATAATTCAACAATTTAACATCTACGCATCGGAATTCTTAATAACATCTTTATCATCATTATAGCAACTCCAAAACAACACAATTTAATAATAATCAACTTAAAGTTCAACGACTGAATAATAAACAATAAAAAATAACAAGCGTTCTTCTCCCCGAGTGTTACATATCAGAGCAATGACACCGACTCGAACTATTGAAGGTATACAGCCTTGACTCTCGATTACCTGCTGTAGCGGTGAAAATCGGAGATCGAGCTATTAATTAACTCGACTCACAAAAGCAAGAGTCGCCACCGCGCTTTATTATTTCCAAGGGAAAAGGGAAAAGAGCGAAATAAAACCCTAAAATATGCAATGTAAAATAATACTTAAAAGTAATAAAATACAACGCGTTTTTGAAAAGAGATCGAGAGTTCGGGGGTTGGTTATACAATGGGAAGGTATTAGCACCCAATGCATCTGCGGTACTCCGCAGGAACCTTTTGAAATATCTGTTTTTTGGTTAAAAATTGTTTGTTTGATTAAAATGGTTCGTTTGGCTAAAAATGGGTATGGATGATATTTTTGAAGATACGAAGACCTAGTGTCGAAGTTTTGACTTAAAAGGTGTGAGTTTGAAAATTGAATCTTTCGGGAAAATTATCTTAGGTTTAACAAAATAGTAAACAAACAAAAGATGAATGAGGGTATTCGCACGATTGGATGAGATGTATTTGATGACATGAAGTCAACAAAGTTAAAACATTTCCCTTGGATTTAAAACCACAGACAGATAAATAAGCTAAGAGTATATCAAACCTCAGGTGAAAATAAATCACAAGCCGACAGCATCAAAAAACCAGATGTAAGATAATACTCTCAGCAGCGAATAAAGCGCAATGAACCACAAGCGAGAAGTGCAACGCGTGAAAATAAATCACGCAAGAAGGAAATCGTGGATGACGCTCACGGTATAAGATTCCCTACATCACATGAAAAACTCCAACAAACAGATAAACAGGGTAACAGAAATAATATGAACATCTCATGTGAAATAAAGAATCAAGTTATGGGACCGGAATGCGTCAAATCGAAATCCATAAAATAAACTGGTCAATGAAGTTTATACATCCATTATATATTCGAAAATTAAATCGAGCTCAAAATGTGAAATCACAATGAAATGATATAAAATAGACAACACAACTTAAATTTATTTACAAGATAAAATTCTAACTAAATCTAAAACTCAAAAGTTTCTATTAAATAAAACAATAAGAAAATTAAATCACAAATTGAATTTATTTACAAACCAACAAATTAATTACACATTACATAATGTACTAAAGTAATCTAAAAAAACAAAAGATAAACATTATTACTTCTAAATTTAAAATCTAATGTCTTAACTTTTTATTTATTTTTGGATAAACTTTTGAATATATAAAAAATAATAAAACTAAATTAAAAGAGTGAATATACAAAAATGATAACTAAATTAAAAAAGAATAAAAGAAACAGAGCCACTACATGATTGAGTGGTACGTACAGAAAGTTACACGGAAACAGAGGGTGATAGCTGGCGGAAAATTCACTATAACTTTAGTGCAAATTATTTTAATTATTGCTAAGAACAATAATTAAACAAATGATATTTAAATAAAGAAATAGTACATGAGAGAAAAATGGGTTAAAGTGTGAATGCAATACACAGAATAAAGGAATGGAAACGAAACCTGCTTTTTACATGTCATGACAGCACAGAACCGAAACTTGCAATATGCTTGTAAAGAGGGATTTTTAGGACTCCAGCACCAGCTTTGCACACCGCGAGAGACACTGCTAATATGGCATTTGCTCCAAGCTCTTGTTTGCGCCAAATCTCCAACATATTGTCCCAAGCATCAATGAGATGAAGACAGTGTAGAAGAAGCGAACAACAGTGTACTGTGGGTTACGGTGAATTAACAACACGCCCTTTAACTCGTCCGGTGGTTCCTGAAGAAAAAAGAATCGCAGCTGTTTATGATTGACTCATTTCGAGTCGGTGAGGCTCGGAGTTGGAATCAAGCATGGAAAGGAACGAAGGAGAATCGAGTATGACTGTGCCGAAAGGGAGGTTGGGGATTTTGGAAGTGGTTGAGGAAGATGCGAATGCGATGACTGGTTTTGTGAGATGAACGATGTGAGTTAACTCGGATTGGGAGCTGAGCGGGTGCGGTGGAATGGGGTTGTGGTTCGTGGTGTTGTGCGAACATGATGCTTGAGTTGTTGACAGAGTTGTAATCACCACACCGGCACTGATAGAACAGTTCTAATGCTTCATCGGCGTCTTCAGCTTCCATATCATGTAAGCTTAAATCTTCTGCAACTTCAGCAGCCAATACATCTCGCCTTGAACTTTGCAGCTGCTTATCGTAAAATAAGCGAGAGCTTGAGTCGCTTAGAATTTCCCATGCCTTTTGAACTCTGAGAAATCTCTCTGTACTTGTTTGGTTACTACCGGATGTATTGAATGTCTTCAATAGCTTATCGGGATGTAAGCTGAGTACAGCACTTCGGTAACTAGAACGAACTTCCTCATACTCTGCATCTTCCTTAATACTGAGAACCTCATAATGAGTTTCCTCAATGTCATATTTGTCGAGAATCATTTTTTCAAGGTTGTCGGGGAAGGAGAAAACGGAGAGGGTGGAGGTTGTGACTCCGGCGACGGGAAGACGGTGGTGGCGATGAGGGTGTGAGGATGGATTTACTGCTTATGCTTGTGTATTGTTATTTATTTTTTTGTTTTTTCCCCCTTTTTACAAAGAAATAAGATTCTTAAATAGAGAAAATGAAAGGAATATTGTTTTCAGATTTAATCTGATCCATCCAAAATAAATCCAACTTACTGATCCGTAACTTTTGTTAGTAACCAATAGGAATCAAGCACAGTGTGAATAATATTTTTTTGTGACCAAATAGCCCTTAAATGATAAAAATAACCAAAAAACTAAATGTATTAAAATTAACTCAATTTAAAATGATTTTTTTGAATCGTTTCTGAATAAAAAATAAAGACCCAACGTGACTAAAAACAATAAAAAACGGACGAAAATTTATCCGAAAAAATAAAATGAACACATTAAAATAATCTACATGTCACAAAGATTAAAGAAAAAATATTCAAGAAGTCAAAAATAAAATGATAAAATATCAGGCTAATACGGACATTTACGGTTAAAAACGAGACTTCAAACTATACCGAAAAAATAAAGCGAGCATACCGTCATAATCTATGCGTCATGCAGATTCATAAAATGATCAGTAAGAGGTGAAAACTTGAAATATTTTTCTCGCTATCTTTTCGCACAATATCGAATCGCTTTTAACGGTCTGTCTATAAAACCAAAATATTTTTACCATCGACATATAAACAAAATGCAAGAAGCGAGTAAAGAGATAAAAATGCATGAAGTGAAATGTCGGGTATTTTACAACTGAAAGACGATGCAAACTTTGATTTAAACTGACTTTTTCTGGTCAACTTAAATACGACTAATGATGCAGAATGTGATGAATAAAGATATTTACTAATGATTGTGACCAAATAACAAAATATGGTATGAATGTGCGACTGAAAAAATTAGGGGCGAAATTAAGGGTGCAACGATGTGCCTTGATGAATCAGTCTTCGAGAATCCACAATCAACCGTACTTCTGGCTTGGGAGACTCAAAACCTTAATTGAGGCGCGACACCTGATGCTCTTGATTCAGACCTGTCTCTGCACGTGAAACAAGAGAAAACATGAACATACACCTTTGTATGCGATTAGAAATTAGTGATACATAGGCTAAAAATGTTCAAAACACTTGACAATCTTCGCATAGTCAAAGCTCGAAGGTGAGACGTTAAAACCGACCGTATTTCGTGACCTTGACTTATCTTAAAAAATGTAAAAATAAAAATGGGATCTTAGGTCAAATATTGGGGTACAACAGCTGCCCCTATTTAAGTTTCTTCTATCTGGAGATATGAAGATTGGGATCTTCATTTCGACGAGATTGAAGGGACTTAAATATAGAATACACAATTTTTGGCCTTAAGATACCGCGATTACGTTCATGATATGATATGAATGTAATGCTCTGAATTTTATGGGGAATGACGCCATATGAGACAGACTATGCTGGAGAAACCAAGCACATTATACAGTAATCCCACAGAGGAAGAGGTTGTAACTCCACTGGGGAAACAGAGTCATAGACCTCAAATGAGAGACTCTTGAATGATTTACATCAGTATTGAGACTGGAAAAGGTAATGATTCACATCAGTACTGTGACTAGAAAAGCATATGATTGACATCAGTACTGTGACAGGAAAAGAAAATGATGGACATCAGTACTGAGACTGGAAAATGATTGACATCAGCACTGTGGCTGGAAAACAAAATGATTGACATCAGCACTGTGGCTGGAAAACAAAATGATTGACATCAGAACTGTGGCCGGAAAACAAAATGATTGACATCAGCACTGTGGCTGGAGATAAACATCTCTGATTTCTGAATTTTACCAAGAACGGTAACACATTTCTTCTTTAACCGAGATATCGCTTGAAAAGGATAAAATAACAAACTTCCCCACGGGACTTTTCCGAAAGGGATGCCATTTGCCGAGTAGACATTATTGTTGGGGATACACAAGCTGCTCAAATAAAGAGGCCGCCACTTGCTTCCTTTCAAAGGTGTCAATAACATACAAGCTGCTCATGAAGAGACCGCCACTTGCTGTCTTCAAAGAATATTAAAGCACACAAGCTGCTCATGAAGAGTCCGCCACTTGTTGCCAAAAACCCACAAGCTGCTCATAAAGAAGCTGCCACTTGCTGTCTTCAAGGGAACAATAACACACAAGTTGCTCAAATAGATAAGCTGCCACTTGCTGTCTTCCAAAAATACTAACGTACAAGCTGCTCATGAAGAAGCTGCCACTTGCCGTTTTCCGTACAAGCTGCTCATGAAGAGACCGCCACTTGCCATTTTTCAAAGATAACAATAACACACAAGTTGCTCATGAGGAGACCGCTGCTTGCTATTTTTCAAAGGTAACAATAACACACAAGTTGCTCATGAAGAGACCGCCACTTGATGCTTTCAAAGGTGACAATAACATACAAGTTGCTCATGAAGAGACTGCCGCTTGCTGTTTATCAAGAGTATCCATAACACAGAAGTTGCTCATGAAGAGACTGCCGCTTGATGTTTTCAAAGGTGACAATAACATACAAGTTGCTCATGAAGAGACCGCCGCTTGCTGTTTGTCAAGAGTATCTATAACACACAAGTTGCCTCATGAAGAGACTGTCGCTTGCTGTTTCCCAAAAAGATACCCATAAAATATCGTGAAGATATTGCTGGAGGTGAGAACCAATAATTTCATCGAGGATGGACAAACTGCTCATGAAGAGACCGCCATTTTTCGTAGAGAAATCAGAAATAATCAAACTGCTCAAATAAATAGTCAGTCGCTTGTTGTCATGTCGATATTCCAGAAGAAGGTTGTGATAACACTGCTGGGGAATAAAGTTCATCTTCAATGGGGAACCATGAATAAATCTTTCTTGAGGAGACCAAGTATTTACATTACAAAATAAATGCACTCTCCATCTAGGTGTCACAGCCTAGAGAGATCCACAGGGTATCGTTCACAAGAGATAAAGCTCAATCCAAGAATAAACTGGAGAGAAAATAGTCAAACAAGACTCCACCCAATGAGGAAACAACTCAAATGGGGATTTATCCTATCCAGAGATGGAAAAGGAAAGCTAAAGCAAGATTCTTCCACGAGAGTTAACTCAGTGGGGAATTAGAAAAAGAGGCGCACTTTCTGCTTAAGTTGACACTCTATTTGGAAAGATCAAATATGCTATTTGAATAGACATAACCAAGGTATACGTACTCAAAGACATCAACAAATACAACTGTGCATGCATGATGCAAGTGTGAATGAATAAATGAATGTCATGTATATGCTGACAAAACAGACAGGGGAGATAGACAGACAATGATAAGACATCACAATACAACTTGACACTCGGCTAATCTCAACAGGATGGTAACATTACTGGAGATAGAAACACAGGCCATCATTGGAGCAAGGTCCTTTTACAAGGCTTAAATATCTCTGGAGAGGAAGATATTTTCAGGTAGAAAACCCAAAGTCTAGTCTTCTATTGCAAACAATCCATTGAAAGGATAACAACAAAAACAAAGTTTCAGCTGGAAAGAAATCTTGCTTAGCTGGAGATACTGGGAACACCACCCTCTGATAATGTATGAAAAACATATCTTGACAAATCTGGATTTCCCCTAGGATTAATTTTGGATGCCCCAAGTTTACTGCTGATAAGCTGCATGTTGCACAACAATTCTTGTGAATAACTTCACTTCTAAAATTCCCCAAGCTATATGGTTGGTGAGGAGAAATAATCTCAAGAGGATTTTACAAGAGACCTGGCATTCACCATGCTCTGGTGTCTTCAAACTCTTAGAGAGATTCAATAAATCTCGACGTGATTGCCCCGAATTGACTGTAGTTGGCACAACAAAGTCTTCAACTTTTGCCCCAATAAAGGGTAAACAAGTTGGGAAAGCATTAACTGGGAGAAGCAACATATTCGTGCTTACGGTCTTCAGGTGACATGCCCATGGATATGATTTTTTTTTTAAATGATCCGCCAATTACTCAACATAGTTTCAGGCCTTAAAAGAATAAACTCATCACTGGTGCTTATGTGAGCTTCCTTGATATCAAACAAATGTTTTGTAGTTAGAAAAAATTTACAATGAGAATGAAAATTCTAATGCAACAGTTATGTAAGTCTTGAAGATTTTGAAAGATGTCGCACAAAAGATGTCGCACAAATTTTGCGAGTTAAAGCACCATTTATTTTTGTATAGGAAAAACATATGATACCAACATAACTATTTAGAACATTCATGAGAGTCAGGAACACTATCTCATTGAAGTATGCTTTCAAAATAACCTTGCTTCAATTAGGACTTTTGAAGGTTGTAACGTGGTCTGGTTCATGGTTTTTAGAAAAAAGATTTTAAGGCTCAAAATATTTGGTGCCCACCCATTCTTCATGATGTTCTCCAACCCTATGTTCAGTTAATTCAACATGAGTGTTCATCTCTCAAAAGGATTTTGTGACGGTCAAGGAAATGACGAGGCTTTCGGAGTAGAAACCACCCTCATGTCTTCGTGTTTGTAGTCACCAATTTGTTCTTTGCTGAGGACTTTTCTTTGCAGTCCTTTTCTTTGCGATTTTATTTTCCCTAACTTTTGCCTGAACTAATTCTTTTGAATTGATAGTCCAGCGGGATGCCTTAATTTTGCCTAAGTCACATGTTTTCATGTTTTTTGACTTAGCAGGCTTTTTCTTTTTCTCGATTTTTGACTTTTTGAACAAAATGTGTGACATTAGCTTGTATTTGCTTGTTGAGAAGATTGTGATTGCCTCATTTCTTGATGAATGAGGGATAACATTATGATTCCACATCTTCTGGCTTCATTATACATGAAAGATAGCCCTCGTAGTTTCTCTTCAAAAAACATCTTCCTTAGAATTTCGAACACTCAGTCAGATTAACTAAAAACTACCCTGCCCCAGGTTAAAATTCAAGGTTTTTTCGTATAGAAAAGAAACTTCCGCTTCAAAGGCTCAAAAGGGGTTAGAAAGGGATTATATTCCTTATATCTCCAGTGTTTAGGGATTTGAAACAATGCCTGTACATCATCAGCAAGATTTTATCCAAAAGCATGCAACCAGAGATTTTGTGTTTTTTTTCCAGATCATCATCCTCCCCTCAACCTCTGCCTAGGCAAGAGAATGAGCAACAATTTGGTATCATAGTGCAAAAGCAATTTAAAATTTGAAAACAAATATGAGTGAAACGAATGAATTTCTTCAAGACAAACATACTCATTGTATTAAGATAATCATTCAGATGCAAACAAGTTCTTACATGCAAACAATGTTTTGATAAACAAGAAAGATTACAAAAAGCATAAATAAGTTAATACTATGGGAAGGCTTTCCATCTGGACTTGAATTACCGAAAACATCCTTCAAAAATCAAAGTGACCATCAGTCGTGTTTACTCTTTGGCACATGCTTGATTTGAACTTTAAAACCAACGTCCTTGAATGACAAGATACCACTTCTGACCAACTTCTGAACCTCAATCTTCAAAGCAAAGCAACCCTCCAAGTCATGCCCAGGAGCACCTTGATGAAAAGGTACAAGCCAAATCAGCTTTGTAGTACCGATGTATCTTCTCAGGAACCTTCGGTGGAGGTCGGGTCTGAACCAAATTCCTCTGCATCAGGATAGGGAACAACTTTGTATATGTAATTGGAATTGGATCAAACTGGGTTTTCCTCTGATTAGGAACTTGCTGATTCTGTTGATGAATAAGAGAAACATGATGATTCTGACAATGATTATTTCTTCCTCTGGTTCTCTTCTTGGAAAAGTTATTATCAAACTTCTTCACACCATTAGCTGAGCTACCATCTTCATATGAACATCCCTTCCCAACATCTTCTTCTAGACGCACTCCCATATTCACCTTGTCAGGAAAGTCATTAGGTGCATTAACCATCACCTTCTCATGAGAGAATAATTTCAGAGTTTCAGTGAAGACTTTTATCATCGCTTCTTTCCTCCTAGAAGGATTGACTTGGGCGGCAACCAGAATTTCGACCAAACCAGTTAAGTGCTCCACACTAGCTTTCAAATTAGTCATCTCTCTACGGAGTTCAGAAACCTCTTGCTTGATATTCTCCATTGTTCTCTTAGCGCGAGTGTTGTACGATTGAGACCAAAGAAAAAATAAGACTCGGAAAAAGACCTTTGAAAGTGAAACAAAAAATGTAGAATGATGTATGATATGCAAAAGAGAGTTTTTATTTAATTTTCAAAGAACTCAAGATATTAAGTTGTAAACATCAAAGTATGAAGATAGAAGATGAATTTTAAATTTGCTCCAAACATTGATCAAGTTATCATCAAGATCAATCATCCATTTTGGTGGATTAGGGTTTTCGCCCTATCAACACCCAAGATCCATTGAGCTTGACGAAACTTGTGATGTTTACAAAGAAAGACCTCCAAATTCCTTCAAAGTCAAGTGAAAAGGGTTTTATGGATGCATGGATGCATGGCTATGCAACAACCACAAGCAAGGTCACAAATAGAGTCGAAAGGTTCAACGTCACGAGCATGGAGTCAAGGTAAGGAACACCCCTAAGGTATGTACTAACGGTTTAATCACACCTGTAGAACAAGGTTCTAAGAGTTCCCGGAGTCTACATTCCTCCTTCGGATATTACCAACGTCTTGATTACTCAATAATTAGCAATATTCTCAAGAGAAACTCATCCGAGCGTAGCATCGCGTAACAATTACTTCCGGATTACTCCGTTATAATCTCCGCGCTACACCTAAAAGGCCAAGATGGGTTAGGGTTCTACGGTTCCCAGCTTCTTTGGCTCCCAGGTCGAAAATAATAATGTCTTCCCGATTACTCGGTAAACAAATATTAAGTTCAAAAGGGCCTTCCACTGAGTGGGGGATCTCATGCCTCCTTCTTCGGGATTACTCCCTCAAAGTTAACATGACTATACCGCCCGTCCTATTCCTAAGTGTAACTTAGTCCGGGTATAGGACTTGTCCTTTGTAAATATTATCAACACCCAAATAATCATAATATATACATATAATCAAACAATCAAATAATGATAAAACAGATAAAACAAATTAGGCTTAACCCACTTAGGGATGGACCAGCAAGAGGTCAATCTTTCCCCAGCAGAGTCGCCAATTCTGTAGCGGTGAAAATCGGAGATCGAGCTATTAACTAACTCGACTCGCAAAAGCAAGAGTCGCCACCGCGCTTTATTATTTCCAAGGGAAAAGGGAAAAGAGCGAAATAAAACCCTAAAATATGCAATGTAAAATAATACTTAAAAGTAATAAAATACAACGCGTTTTTGAAAAGAGATCGAGAGTTCGGGGGTTGGTTATACAATGGGAAGGTATTAGCACCCAATGCATCTGCGGTACTCCGCAGGAACCTTTTGAAATATCTGTTTTTTGGTTAAAAATTGTTTGTTTGATTAAAATGGTTCGTTTGGCTAAAAATGGGTATGGATGATATTTTTGAAGATACGACGACCTAGTGTCGAAGTTTTGACTTAAAAGGTATGAGTTTGAAAATTGAATCTTTCGGGAAAATTATCTTAGGTTTAACAAAATAGTAAACAAACAAAAGATGAATGAGGGTATTCGCACGATTGGATGAGATGTATTTGATGACATGAAGTCAACAAAGTTAAAACATTTCCCTTGGATTTAAAACCACAGACAGATAAATAAGCTAAGAGTATATCAAACCTCAAGTGAAAATAAATCACAAGCCGACAGCGTCAAAAAACCAGATGTAAGATAATACTCTCAGCAGCAAATAAAGCACAATGAACCACAAGCGAGAAGTGCAACGCGTGAAAATAAATCACGGAAGAAGGAAATCGTGGATGACGCTCACGGTATAAGATTCCCTACATCACATGAAAAACTCCAACAAACAGATAAACAGGGTAACAGAGAAATAATATGAACATCTCATGTGAAATAAAGAATCAAGCTATGGGACCGGAATGCGTCAAATCTAAATCCATAAAATAAACTGGTCAATGAAGTTTATACATCCATTATATATTCGAAAATTAAATCGAGCTCAAAATGTGAAATCACAATGAAATGATATAAAATAGACAACACAACTTAAATTTATTTACAAGATAAAATTCTAACTAAATCTAAAACTCAAAAGTTTCTATTAAATAAAACAATAAGAAAATTAAATCATAAATTGAATTTATTTACAAACCAACAAATTAATTACACATTACATAATGTACTAAAGTAATCTAAAAAAACAAAAGATAAACATTATTACTTCTAAATTTAAAATCTAATGTCTTAACTTTTAATTTATTTTTGGATAAACTTTTGAATATATAAAAAACAATAAAACTAAATTAAAAGAGTGAATATACAAAAATGATAACTAAATTAAAAAATAATAAAAGAAACAGAGCCACTACATGATTGAGTGGTACGTGCAGAAACTTACGCGGAAACGGAGGGTGATAGCTGGCGGAAAATTCACCATAACTTTAGTGCAAATTATTTTAATTATTGCTAAGAACAATAATTAAACAAATGATATTTAAATAAAGAAATAGTACATGAGAGAAAAATGGGTTAAAGTGTGAATGCAATACACAGAATAGAGGAATGGAAACGAAACCTGCTTTTTACATGTCATGACAGCACAAAACCGAAACTTGTAATATGCTTGTAAAGAGGGATTTTTAGGACTCCAGCACCAGCTTTGCACACCGCGAGAGACACTGCTAATATGGAATTTTCTCCAAGCTCTTGTTTGCGCCAAATATCCAACATATTGTCCCAAGCATCAATGAGATGAAGACAGTGTAGAAGAAGCGAACAACAGTGTACTGTGGGTTACGGTGAATTAACAACACGCCCTTTAACTCGTCCGGTGGTTCCTGAAGAGAAAAGAGTCGTAGCTGTGTATGA